TCCACCATTTGGCTGGGCATCCTCTTCCAGTGCCTGACCACTCTCCCAGTGAAGGAATTTTTCCCAAACTCTAAACCTCCCTTGGTGCAATTTGAGGCCATTTCCAAGGCAGATGCTTGGAGTGTCAGAGAAGACGCTTACTGAAATCAAGAAGAGTCATCAGATAAATACCCCTGCTCAGCCTTCTTTTCAGGAAGGAATTAAATTCCTTTTGATTGCTAAATGCAGCTGGTTCTAATTTCTCTAATTCTAAATTTTTAGCAAAATAATTAAGTACCCTGCAAATGTAAGTTTACAAAGGACGGAACAGAAATAATTTCCTTGAAAAAAATCCAAATTGAACCTCTGACTAAAAAATAACCAAAAAACCCTCACAACATTTTTTTTTGTTCTAATCAATTTCTGATTTAGATTTTGTCTAAAAGCTGGATAAAACCTTTCAGTATTGAGAACATCTTGATGAAATTTATAAGTGCTGCTGTCTCTGAAAATCTGAAGTCTCCTGTGACTTTTTTTCAATTGGGCTAAAAAGAAATGTAAACAAGCAGGAAAAACAGCAGAAGGAAATGCTCAGCATTAATTACAGGTGGATAATAAATAGGGTGTTTGCTGTTTCACAGACCAGCACTGTGATGGAGTGCAGCAGAGAGCCTGCAGAGGAGAGCAGCGAGCACGAGCACTCTGTATAGATCAGCCAGAGGGCTGCTTTTGTGTCACAAAAAACAAATAGCCACGTCCACAAGATGCCTATAAATAATAGATTGTATCTATTGACTGGGTAGCAGGCAGCATCTRTCTCACTCCTTCCTGCCTGGGAGTGCAGTTATTCATCATCTGTGGCAGCAAACCTCCCTGCTCAGCTCACCCAGCCCCGCTGGCCAGGGGTCACTGCTCGGATGAGCCGCTGTGTCCTGCAAAGCCTCCGTGCTCTGCTGGCCAGTGAGGATGTGTTGGCTCAAGGTCCCGAGCTGAGGGGTGGATTGTGTCTTGTTCCACATCTCCTGGAGCACGTTAAACATCACAGCCTTCAGGGCACACTGGTRTGACCCCACCATTCCCCCCAGGGCACCTTGCACAGAGTAGCAGARTCTCTCCCTGCTGATGCTCCCAAAACATCCCCTGTCAATCCTGGCTCTCTCAGACACAGTGAGATGAAAGCTCCACTCACCATCTCACAGCACCTCCAGCTCTGTTCTCAGTCAGACAGATTATTGTGAGTGATTTCATGCTGTGCTGTCCATGATACCCTATTGTGCCATGATGTGAGTATGCATTTCCCTTCTACTCACAGTATGTTTTGATCTGAATGCAAAATATGTGTATTTTTTGTTTCAACAATAAAGAGAGGCCCCAAGAAGTTGGGCTAATTTTTTGAGATCTTTCTTTAATTTTCCTCTGACTGGGCACAAAGGATGTCTGCATTTATYAGGTGATACTGCATGATTTTTATCCACCTGCTAAACTTGAGATTGGACRAGACTCCTATCATCAACTCAGCTGAGAGGAACTGTCTTCTATCTCATGGTATCTTCAAATGAAGAATAAATGCCTTTCTGGAAGATCTGTTTTAACCAAATACGTTTCTTTTTAGTCAAACACAAATTTTCTGAGTCACAGGAAGAGTAACTAGATTAAAGTTAATAATCTCCAATACACAAGAAGTCTCTTTTGGGCCAAACCATATGAAACAACACATTTAGTGATAACAAAAAATAGAAGATCAAGACAGGAAGCTGASAAGAGAYGCTATTTTGCTCCCTGTTTTTCCAYCCTTTYCACTACAGTAAAATAATTTCTTTTGCAGAAAATGATGGAGAAGATGAAAAATTCTGATGCCTCRTTTTGCTGCAGAGGAGGATGGGAAGCCCAAGCATCCCCTCAGTCTCCTTCTGAAAGGCCTCAGCTCCATCCTAAGCAAGGAATGGCAGCAACGTGCTGGACTTCAGCAAGGTCCTACTCTCCACAGCTGCTACACACTGCGGTTATTTTAAGCTCTGAAGACAATTCATCAAATTACAGTTCTCAAAATGGTACAATGTGAGTCAGATTTACTTCACATTCCCCTCTTTGCAGGCTCTTGCTATTGGCTGTGGGTTATTTATTACCTCTGGTGCCTGCCCTGAGAAGCTCCTTTCTGGGTCTGTATTTCACATTTAATGAGTGCTTTTGTAATTTCATGGCCATTTTCCGAAGCCAAGGTGGCACTTTACAAAGCCTAATGGTTTATGGCCCATTTCTGACGTCGCTGATTCCTCTAATCCCTTTGTATATGAGCTAAGCCCAGCTGTGAGCTGTGGCTTCCCCTGACCCTGCTGTGATCAGCCCATGCTTTGAAAGCTTTGAGGGGCTGTCTCACCTCAAACAGGACAGATCAGACCATGGGCAGGGACTGTTCCACACAGTGATGGTGCAGAAGGTGGACCACACACTCCAGCAGATATTCCAGAGCTCACAGCCTCCTTGGGCTGAACCTCTGGAGCCACCATCATTCCCTTTATGGATTTGGAGGGATGGATCCCTTCTTCATGCTCAGCTCTCCATGACTGYCTGGCCTTTTATCACATTCATCCAGCCCAGACATGAAGGCTTCAGAGCTTCAAGGACACCAGCTGCCCTCCTGCAAAGAGGCTGTGAGCAGGTAACCCACGGCTCTGCTCTGTCACAGCCATCCACAGATCACCAAATTCACAGTGTGTCTTTAAAGTCCTTGGCAGGTTGTCCCTAGAATACTTAAAAGMCTGTTTAAAGCTCTGCTTAGTAAGACTGTCCTGAAAAAGGACAACACTTATCTTCAAAAGCAAATTTTTGTTTCTTTGGGGGATTGAAGTTCCCCGGGGACTGGTCTGAGACTGAGGAATGCACATTTACAAGAGCAAGTTATTGCTGCAAACCTCACCACCTGCTGTGCTGAGTGATGTGTTTGCAGTTTTGATCTTACTCTTTTTTTTTTTTTTTTTTTAACGATAAATACATAGTGGCATATGCACTTAAAACAAGCATGCTCTGAAAAAAAAACAAACCTCCAGACAAATTTCCCTTTCTCCTTTCCAAAACAAAACTGAAATAAACAACCCAAAACCTCTACAAAAACAAAACACACCCCTGCACTTGCTCCTTTCTGCTGGGGAGAGAATGACAGAACAGATGTATAACAGAAGCTATTTATGTTGGTTATTGCATTACTGGGGAGATGCTGAGAGATAGTAGTTATAAGTTTAGAAGCAACTACACAGGAAATATATTGGAATAGAGCAGATATCCCCACCTGCCCACAGTGTCATTCTACCAAGTGTTCATTTCTAAGTGATGTGTCACARAAATCCTGCACTGGGTTCGCGTGAAAAATACATGTGAAATACAGAGCCTTTCTGTACAACAGCATCCCACAGAAATTCTCACTCTTCTGCTTCCTCCTGGCTTTCACATTGAGCAGAAATGTCCCTCTCCCCTCGYAACCATCTCGAGGAGCTGTGCTCAGAGTACTGGGAGTTATAATAATTCCCACATTTAATTTTCAAATTTTTATCTTCTTGCCAATATTTGTAGCAGTCAGAAACTGCTCTTGTGCTCCACGGGAAAACATTGGTTTCAACGAAATTGCAACTTTCATTATCAGGTTGATTAAATCAACAACATTAAAATAACAATGACAGAATCATTCTCATTTCCCATTTCAAAGCAAAATAAAGCAACCTTTTGAAAGGGTGATTCAAAGCGTGTTATTTAGCTAGAGCAAATCTTGTTAGTTGAATCAGACCCACTGATCTTTCSCTGACACTTTTTATTAAAGATGTTACCAAATTTGCTATTCCTCCAAGCCTCAGCTTTTGACCTCTCCATGCTCCTCCTTGGATCAGAAACAACCTATTGAAATGCCCCCAAAGGGAGCTATTCTCTTTCTTAAATACGAATAATGATGACAAGAACGACAGTGAGAATGAAAATCACAATAACCTGATCCTAACRCACAGGGCTGGTTATAAGACAGCAATAAAGTTGAAATTCCCTCTTCTGGGAAGACTTTCTGAATTCTCTGCCTGGCCTCCTACTAATCAATGATCAGATAATAAAATGTATTCATAAAAGCTGTCACTATCAAAGTGCCCTGCAGGCTGTTATTTCCCTGCTATCACAAGCTCATTAATATTTGGATGAATTGGCATCTGAGAGCCAACAAGCTGGTGCCCAKCCTTCCTGCCATCCCACGGGAGCTGTGCTGAGCTGTACTGAGTTATCTCCYCTTGTGGAGGGAGCTGTGCCTCCTTCTCATCCCCTGAGCTCTAATGCCATCCCAGCACGCTGGAAATCAACCTCTGCCTACTGTCACCCATAAGATGGGCATTTCAGATTAAATTTCMTTTGAAGAGAGGGGAGACAAAGCCCCCAAAAGGAAGGAAAAAATTATCTAAGTAATAGCAAGTGTCATTCACCAAAAAGTCCCTTTAGGAACACTCTGGATGTTGAATCCTACTGAACCTTCAGGCAGCAGAACTATTGGCTGAAATGGGAAGCAGGAGGAAGCTTCTCTAACTTTTCTAAAATACAGTAACAATTAAAGCCACTCATTGTGCTCCATAATGTTTGGCACAGCCCATATAAACTTTCACTGGGCACTTATTTCTCCCTACTTTGCTGGATTTTTTTATCTTCCCTGTAATTCTAGAATCATCTTATTTCTGCTAGCAACAAAATAAATGATTGACCAAGTTTCATTGCAACTGTGTGTCTTTAGAAAATCTCATTATAATTTCTGTGAATTCCCTCAAAAAACTCCTGGGGATAAATTTAAATGGTATTTTCATGGTCTCAAATTTGAGGTCCCAAGTTCACAGCTATGAGACCTGTGAAYCTTTGGATCCTTTCTGAGTTCTGTTACTGACTGAAAAAACTACACTATGGTTCAGTAAGGAAGGTCAAAGTAGAACCTGTTCAGCTCCAAAGCACGCAGGAAGGTTAAACCACATGAACTGGAAAAAGGTTCATAGGGGAAGACAACCCACCTTGGAGAAATATCACATCCTTGCTGCATGAAAGCTCCTAGGGAGAACCAGAGGCTGTTGAATATCCCAAACTCGTTTGTCTGGTCAGTGGCYGGCTGGTCCCGTCCTTCCTCTGCCTCCTCAGTGTGCCACTCGTAGGGGCTGAAGCGACTCACCAGGAAGAGGACAACGCTCACTCCAATGTAGGCAAAAACGATGCACATCCAAATCTCRTAGGCCAAGGGATCCAGAAAGGAAAAAACTCCTGGTTTGGACTTTTGAGGTTTTTTTATCATTATTGATATACCTAAACTCATGAACGGTTTGGAAAAGTCTATAACTTCTTCTCGAACCAGGGTGATGGTTAATGGTGCCACAGCCACATCCGCCCTCTGAAAAAGAGACAGAAAAGAGATTTGCAGACTGAGAACAAAATATATCTACMAACTCCAGCATATGATCCTTTGATCTCTGTTTAACCTCACCATCTCAGAAGAAAGCAGACAAAACCAATTCCAAGAAAAAGGTTAAAAAGGAGAAGCCCATAATATTGGTGGATTATTTCCATTTTATTGCTACTGATTACTAGACCTGTTTTGAAATCACAGCGCTTTCTTTTTGCAGCCACCCGGCTCTTCTCATCTGATTTATCCACTGATGTCACAGTCTGATGAAGATGATTTTCTCTAAAAGAGCTTTATCATCCAGACATCAAAAGAGGCAAGGAAAGGCCAATCTCCTGAAAAAGGATGTCAGGATGTTTACTTCCATCAGGAACTGCTTTTTGATTGCATAACTGATGCYGGAGAAGAGGAAAAATGTTCCAGCAACACTGATGTGCACTCTCCACTGATTTTGCAATCCATCTTGAAAATGGAGAGGGAAATGTATTGAAATGGCTGGCAGCATTTACAGTGGAGATACCATCAGGAGACAGATCACCCCTGCTCCAACACAGTCACAGGGACTTGGGCAGTGTTGCTCCCTGAATGCTTTTCCTGGTAGGGAAAGGGAAAATTTGACCCCTCTGAGGGATGGCCTAAACATCACAGAGGATGAACTGCCAGATTAAACCAGCTTTAGAAGTGTGGGTGCAGGCACACCCCTGATGATGGCAGTGAGTGGTTGGACTGAAAGAAATCTCATCCTACCATTCACCGCTCATGTGCTGAGTGTTTGAAATCTTTTTCTTCTTTCATGCCACCACTATCATGCAAATATAAAATAGAGTAAAATTTGGAGATTCTACCCATGGGGAAGCATGACCTTTCAATACTTGTTCTTCTAAAAATGCAAAGAAAAAGAATCTTGGAACCGTCRAAAGGAAACGTTTTGACATTTCCATCGGCACAGAATGTGCTGTCTCTCCCTAAATTAAAACGTTTTACTCGGGCTGATTGTTTGCACTGTCAGAGCCACAGTCCCGTGGTGAGCTCGAGCACGATTCCTCCTGACTCTGAACATGTTCCCAAGCACCAAGGAATGTCTTAGGGGCCAGGTTGAAAACTCACCCCGTAGACGAGCTCTCCCACCATGCCGTTCCAGGTTTTGGTGTCGGGGTCGCGCGCTCCGTATTTGCCGTCGCGGACGATCTCCAGCCGGTAGTGGTAGCCCACGTGCTTGGCGATCTCGGCAGCCAGCTCCACGCAGTAGCCTTCATACCTCTCGTTGCCCTCAAACTGGTTGGCATTCTTCTTGAGCATCACGTAYGGGTCCTCCTGGCACACAGAAGAGTAATGTTGAGCCCCATTCCACGTTCTAGAGGTACACACCAGCTCTAGCCCRGCTTCTGGTCGCCCTGCAAAGATCYAGCTTTGTGTTCTGTGCCAAGGGACACAGCCAACACACCGTGGGCTTGGTCTAGAGGGTAAAAAGTGGGATTTGTTTATTGTGGAGTATTCTTTTTTTTCATGCAGAATCTGTGCGCAGCTCCTGCAGTGATGGACCTGAGGGAAATGGAGTAGCTGGCAGGATTTGGGAACAAACCTTTCAGCGTAGCTCTGCAAGGGGTATTTATTGTATTTGAGCTGTGAATTTTTAAAGGTATGCCTGCCTGTGTGAGCACAGGCAGAATCAAATCCGCTGGACAGGAGAGAGCCTCAAGATGTTTAACTCAGTTCGGGTGTTGTGTCTTCTTTGCAGACTCCCAGTAAGCAAACAACAAAAAATTCAGTAACATTTCATGTTTCTGCAGGGTGAATGTATACAATGACACAATGCATGATACCATAAATTATGGGGTACCTATTATTCCTTCATGATTATAGTGGAGATTTGCTTTTAAAGCAATGATTCAGCCTCTCTGTACAAAACAGCTTATCCTTCCCAAAACTGCAGCCCCCATTCTGTGGGATAAATACAAAGCACAGGTATAATGTTCCTAATTTACCTGTGTTGATGCYTCTATAATCTTGTCATAATCTTTTGTATTTTCTGCACTTAAGCAGGAGAGCTCTTTAATACCTACTTAATTAGCCACAGCAATTTTCAGATACCTTTGTGGAGCTGGCAGGAAACAGTGAGTGCAATTATTATTGTTATTATTATTATTATTGGTATTATAATAATGATATAGTACAAGGAAGGGGGCATGAGTGGGAAGAGGGAGGCTGCACATCAGGGGGATGGGGGAAAGGGAGAGCTGGGATGGGAGTCATGGCACTTACTAGGATTGTCGTGACGATGTAGGTCCTGTTCTGGAGGCTCGTGGACTCGTTGCCACTTTGAGTGTCTACAGCTATTGGGACCAGCTTCTCRTCCTCATTCCAATAACCAATCTGCCCAACACAAAACCAGGATTAAKATGTGTTTGGAATATTAACCAAGGTACAGTCACAAGGTCATCCAAGCTGGATCAGCCTTCTCTGCATACCCAGAGATCTCCTCTCCTGGTTCTTCATGTCTTTTGCAAGGGGGACAGGGAAGTTCCCCATCCCACTGTGCCTCCAGCCTGAAAATAATATGCATTATTTGCATAGYTCAGTGCTGGTATGCACGTAAAAATATTTAGCATGTTGTACTGGTAATTATTGCCATTCCTTCRACGAGAGTTCACACTTCCCCTGTTTGACTTTCAAAAATTATTCTAATGGCAAGCTTGTTTGCTGCATGTGCAGGTACATTATGAAAAGTTATCCTGCAGCTGAAAGCCTGCATGGATATAGGACTGGCTCATAGGACAGCTTGAGACAACAGGACAAAAAATCAAGTCAGGAAAAAAAAAAAAACCCCAATCCTGCGCCAATGTCAAAAAGTTCGGGGTTATGAATAAATTGAACACTTGTTATGGGAAGAACTCTCAAGTTAAATTCTGCTTAATAATAATCAGGGATTTGGACTGATCCATCACTCCCTGCAGGTAAAGCAGAGTGCCACTGAATATCTCTAGCAAGATCATGGCTGAGGTTATCCACCTTCAGAGCTTGATTTTATAAGAGGTTTTCCATCACCTCATGTAAGTGTGAAGCTGCCTGAGCTCTGCTCGTATGAAAGGAATTTCTTATCACAGTAAATGGGAAAGGGTATTAACCAGGGCATGACCAGGAGCTGGCTGATGGCAGATTAGAGATCATAACAGCTGAGGAGAAAAAAAAAATCTATGCAGGCTTCTAATCACKTCTCACTGCACAGACAAAAAGAATGGAGAGTGTGGAAAAAGCTTCCAAAACTCTTCCCTAAGGAAATAAAAGTGGAGACACGGGTGTTTGCTTTGCACCTCTAACCTGGTGGATCTAAAATATGCACCTGTCTTCCAAACAAATATTATTTCTGACAGTAAATACATAGAAAAATCAAGGCATTCAGGCACTGATTTTCTTCTCCTCTAGACTCTCTCCAGACTGCCAACTTATTGAAGTTCAGAGACCCAAACTGGACATGATTGTGCCTTTGTCCTCTTATGAATACTTTGCAGTRGAGGAAGACTGCTTTGTTTGTCTTCAAAATGACATTTTTTTTATTTGTCAAAGAAAATTTTCCTTTTTTTGCTTGACCATAGGGTGCTTTGATCTGATACCTGCTGCTCTCAGGTGTAAGTACAAATTTGAGACAGGGGCTGTAAATATGGAACTTTCATTATTTACATTTTTCTTAGTTTCAAACAAGTTTTTTATCTTTCAGGGGACTGAGGAGATGCAAAGAATGCCCCATTCCAAAATATATAGTAGCTCCCCTTTATCAAGGAATAACAGTTATTCTCTGTTCTTCAAATACATGGTATCTAAAGTGGGACACGAGCACCTAGAGTCAGATTTTCAAAAGGATTAGTGTTTCAAGGGCTTGGCATCTCTGAACAAGGCCAAATTCTTCAAAGAGCCCRGGATACAGAAAGGGATGAAGACTTCAGAAGAGCACAAAGGTCTGTGTAGCTATTGGGACGTGGTTAGTGGCAAAGCTTTTGTCACTTCAAGGAGAGCAGAATTAGGTCAACATAAAGGGTTCACTCACAATGGTTGGGGCAAGCAGTTTCTGCCAGGCTCTGCCTTGGTTTATCCTTGGAAAAGTGGGAGGGCAAAGCCAGACTGTCCTGTACCAAGGTACCACAGCCGAGGTGAGCTGACCAAGCTTTATCATCCTGGAAAATCTTTGCCTCACACCTGAGATGCCCTTGTGGCTCTTGATAACACTTCCAAATGCATTKTTTTAGTAACATATCATGAGTCCTCCCTAGTGCTTGGCTTTGCTTGTGCCTAGAGCTGGGAATGCCCTTGTTGTGACCCCACAAGCAGACTTCAATTGATGCCTGATGACTTTTGCTTTTCCTTTTTACACTTGCTGTACCCTCTATGCATCCTCCTGTATCCCTTAGCCTGCATGCTTGTCATTCCAGGAGCCTGATATTCCAGCTTAGTTTAGGAATACTGCTGGGCCAAATATCCTGAGGAAGGAGTCAGCGTGCCCTGTACTATCTTAAACCCGACTCCAGCCTTGGGTGAAGCCTTCTGTCCAGAACATCTTGTGTGAACTGGGCTCTGGCCTCATTCCGGGCAGGATTCATTAGAATAGGGGGACATTACTGCATTTGTKAARTTTCTTATTGGGGAATCCTAGATAGATATGCTAATTCCTGAAACCTATAAAACTTGTACCCGTGCTGKACACRGGTGTGCATTCTKCCATCAAGTTGTGCATCTGGGATCCCAAATACCGAGGTAAAACCCTTTTTATCCCCTTAACCRTGTCTGTGTCATTATTAAAAAYTGRCCATCAAGGAAACATCATGAGCAGGAGTGTCTGTTGAGACCCAACCACACTGTCACTCAAACACAGGCTGGAACCTGACACAGGCTGTGGGTCACTCTCTGCTTTACCTTTCTGATCCCGTCGTGTTTCATCTCAATCACATGGAGGGTGTAGTTGGTCCTGCGTCCTTTCTCGTTGAAYTGCACGTTGCCAGACAATCCTTCAAAACGGACCTTTAATACATAAATGTCAGTGAAGATAGCAAATTGGACAGCTTCTCATGCAGCAGTGAGAGGGGAGGGGAAGAAGGGTGCTGGGTGAAGTCATTACTCTCAGTTCCATGCAGGAGAAACAGAACATCTGCCTGACACCGGGATTTCACCAAGGTTCAATCTCTGCAGCATGCCTGGCCACGGGCACAGCCATCCTCTTAACTGTTTCTTTTAAAAACCCTTTCTCTCAAAACTCCATGTTTTAAAACTTATCTGAGCCAAAGAGCTAAACCATCAATGTGAGCCCATCACCTCTTAGGACATGACAGTGAGYTAAATCAGCTCTGAACTCCTTGAGTTTTGTGGGGTTTTGTATTTTCTAAATCTGACCTGGAGTAGGGATTTGGTAAAGAATTTGACAGTTCAAATCAGGAACTGTAAATCAGGGGGAATTCGAAGCCATGGCCACAGCTCCCAGCTGTCATCTTTTGACAGAGAGGAGTCTATAAGTTATCGAGTAAATTTAATTACATCTGCACCAGATTAATAAAATCCAACAATTTAGTATTGACATTTTCACAGGAAACTTCGAGCCATAAATCTCTGCTGAGCACACTGCCGAGCTGAAGTGATGCTCACGTCACATCCCACAGCCTGAACTYGTCCTTGCTGCAAAAGTGCCCAGCCTGGCATGGAGAAGGGCTCCTGACTGGAATCACACACTCTGTGGGGATCAGGAACATAGAAAAAACAGTGCAGATTTGGGTTTCTATGGAGACCACCCAGAGAAGCACTCATGCCACTGATTTGAGAATTAATGGTTTATTCTCTGCCTTTCCACTTGCTTTGGACAAACCTCTTGTCCCTGCAACTGAAGTCTTGTCAAATGCAAAATGAGGACAGGTATTTTACAGCCTTTTAAAATACTCTGAGATCCTCAGAATAAAGACCCACGGTGAAGAAATGAGGCTGTGTCATTACGGAGGAAATCTGTTGTTAATCTGCTTAAACCGTGTTTGTTTTCCAGCTGTTATAACAAAGGTTTGTCATGAAAATGAACATCTGCCAGCATTTTCTGAARCTCTTTCCAGTCAAGAGGTATTCCTGGTGACATTTGGATAAACATGCTTTTCCCTTTTCACAAGACACAACATGCCCATAAAAAATAGATGTGCTGAAAAAGCACCATTGTCTTAAGCACTCCCAAGCCTGCTTTGTTTCACGTCTCCTTTGGTTTTCTTTTCAGGTTCTGACCGATTCTGAAGCTCAGGTCACAGGTGTTTGTGCTTTGTGGCTTTGTATGCACTAAAAGGCAGGTTTACAGCATCAATTTCTTCTAYCTGAGTGAATGAAATCTTAATCCTGTGATATCCATGTGGCACTGAAACGGCAAAAGGGATCTCTGCTATCCATGCTGCAGGATGCAGCACGACCTTTCCATCATTCACCATCCTCTGATGGCAAATGCAAAATGCAAAAATGCAATACAAAGTGCAAAAAAATGCAATGCAAAATGAAAAAAAATGAAATTCAAAATGCAAAAATGAAATTCAAAATACAGTGAGGACTGATTTCAACAGTGCTAAGCACCAGTCAACTGGAGACAGGCAGCATGTAAACACATTTTGTGTGTGAGACATGGATGAGCATGTGCTCTTGGTTGGGACATCTGGAGTAGAAGGATGCTGTTGTGGCCTTCTGTTTTACAGGGTTAGTCAGCAGTTAGGGACTTTCTGCTTATTAGATGTGCTGACCAAATAATGATCAAAAAAAGAATTTGTTTAACCTTATCATAACCTTTCCAAAGTACAATTGAAACCATTGGGCATTGGTTTCAAGCAATATTTTGCGGGCCTTTTCCTGMAAAAAAAAAGAAAAAAGGTAATTATCTTTAATAAAAACATACATTCTGCTGAAACATGCCAGATTTCTGTTTYTAAAAAAATGAAGAATGTTTCATAYTTCTTTTCATCTTTGTTCCTGCCATCCATGAATCCTTGTTAGGAGGTTGGAGTGAGGTAGGGGTCAGTCTATTCYCCCAGAGAGTGCAAYRGKACAAGAGGAAATGGCTCAARWTGTGTCAGGGGAGGTTTAGATTGGATATTAGGATAAACTTCYTCAACAAAAAGGTTGYCAGGCTCTGGAATGGGCTGTCCAKGGAGGGYAAGTGGTGGAGTCACCATTTCTGGAGGGATTTAAAAGATGTGTGGACGTGGCARTGCTGGGGACATGGTTGGACTCGATGATTTTAGATCTGCCAACCTAAATGTTTTTATGATTCTATGGTTCCTTCCTACGCTAAACAGAAAAAAAGGCAATTTGAGAGTTTATTCCAGACATTTGAAYAGAGGTAAGTAGAGAAACCTTTTGCTTTTATAAAGCTTCTAAAATTTTAGGCATTAACAAATGGGAGGTGAAGAGAAAGCACACTGTGAGCAGCTGTAAGAATTGCCCTGTGAGTCTTTAYAGAAAGGATAATTCAAACCTTCCATCTAATCATAAGTTATTCTCTTTCCATCTGCCTCTTTCTTGCTACATTACTAAATACTGGAAGATTATCAAATYAAATTTTTGCTAGGAGGCTTCTTGCTCTGCCTGTTTCAGTCTTTTATTTTGACCATCACAACTGAACTGGTCAAGCCTTTTTAAAATTATCATTTTTCAATGGTAAAGAAGCAACTTTTGCAAATGGGTCTTTATGTTCTATACCCAAAGTCACTACAGCTGCAAAATTCGGACTTTGGAAATTGTTTTAATGCCTTCATTAAGGAAACTTCAGAGGAGATTTTCCAACACACACACAAAATTGTATTTTCTAGCTGTCTAATTTTGATATCCTATTCTCATAAATTCAATAAAGGCAAATGCTTGAGCAGCTATTGCTCATCAGAATACTTCCAAGTATTTCATGTTTATTAGGTAACCGATCTCCCTAATGCATCAGGGAGGCTGATTTTATTATAAGGGCTTGGAGAAGCTGTGACAGTGATTTGCCCAAGGTCATGCAGAATGTCAGTGACAGGCTTGGGAACAAATTGAATCCAAGCAATAAAATCAAATCAGATGCAAGAATTCGTTTTTAAGGAATTGTTGTTTACCAGTAAGCCAAAGCCCAAATCAAAACAAAACACTTGAGGAACTTTACATATGATACAAATTAACCAAATAAATGTTATTTTTCTTGCCTTCTTCACAGTTAAGGAAAGAAGATGGGATAAGCTATATTTGGATAACACTGAACTAGCAGTATTTGCAAGGAATCCATCTATTTCTGTCAGGGGAAAAAAAAGAAAACTGCTAGAAATGAATGTCAGTCTTGAAATTTAATGAAATTTTAAAATAGTCTACCTTTGTAAGTCTTTGATAAGACTRTATTATTTTTTTCTCTTGCTGTAAGTTTTACATCGTATTTTTGTTTATTCAAAAATCTATTTTTTTATGCAGGATGAAAAAAGCAAGGTTATCAGATTTGAGGAATAAACTATCTAAGTGGCTGTTCTTAAGACTTTTATGAATCCTCACAGTATGAAACAAACTATAATCTGCACTTTGAGAACATTTTGATGACAGCCAACACATAAAGCAAAATKCACATGCATTCATTAGCAGACTGGAGCTGAAACTGAGTTCACAGAGAGTCAAATAATCTGCAAAAAATATGGTCTGAGCAGATCTGTGTCTTAGGGAGGGGAAGACAAAAACAGGRACCCTTGATTTTATGGGGTAATATTTTGGCTTTTCCATCTCAGAACAACAACAGGAGTTAGAACAGGAAAGGACACATCAGATGGTACGAGGAAAAGCAGTTTGTTGGAGGCACCCCTGAGCTTTTCAGACCTGTCTCTACTCTGGAAGGATCAGTTCCTTGTACCAAGTGATACTCTGGAAGGATCAGTTCCTTGACCCAGGTGATGCTCTGGAAGGAGCAATTTCTTGTACCAAGTGATGCTCTGGAAGGAGCAGTGTCTCCATCCCAGGTGATGCTCTGGAAGGAGCAGTTCGTCATCTCAGGTGATGCTCTGGAAGGAGCAGTTCGTCATCTCAGGTGATGCTCTGGAAGGAGCAGCTTCTCATCCCAGATATTGCTCTGGAAGGAGCAGTGCCTCCATCCCAGATGTTGGTCTGAAAGGATCATTTCTTTGGCCCCAGGATATGCTCTGGAAGGAGCAGTTGTTCCCTGACCGAGGTGATGCTCTGAAAGGATCATTTCTTTGGCCCAGGTTATGCTCTGGAAGGAGCAGCTCCTCATCCCAGATGTTGCTCTGAAAGGATCATTTCTTTGACCCAGGTTACGCTCTGGAAGGAGCAGCTCCTCATCCCAGCTGACCTATGCCGGTGCTTTTGCCGCTGCCCACCCGTCCTTCCCCACCCCCAGTCTCTGCTCAGCCATGCTCCCAGCACCCACACCCCAGCCTGGTTGCCAACCTGCTGCAGGGCTCTCTGGATGTCGATGCCCTGTCCCCAGGGCACGGCGGGGTTGGCCAGGCAGTCGCCGGCATTGCCGCGGCGGGAGATGTCGATGCGCTGCCGCCGCAGGTTCTGGAACGCCTCGGCCATCACCCGCACGCCGTCGTACGTCAGCGCCGACGTGTACTGCACACAGAAGGGTAACTCAGGGTGACATTTCAGGTGACTTGCTCTGTCCTCATCCCCCCATCTATGAAACTCAACAGCATCTTGCTCCCTGTAATCTCCACTGCCCCGTTGACTCCTAAAAGTTGGTTTCAATTTTCTCAACGGGGAGGTGAAGGAGAAGCTCCTGATTTCACTCCCTGAAGAAGACTCARTGTTAAAAGTCATTCACCTGTTACCCGAGTCTTTGTGTTTGATTAGAACATTGACCTGAACTTTTAAGGARCACATTATACTGTGTAAATGTGAGCTGAGTGAAATCAAGGAACAAGGGACTTTATCTGGTCACAGACCGAGACCAGAAAATTCCATCTCAATTGGCAAAAAGTCTGCAAAAGATGAGTTTATTCAAGCAGAAACTTGTASAGAAACAAGGGTAAAACTCTTGGCAAGAACCATTAGAGCTCCTTTTCCTATGATCCCCTACTGATTCAGTTGTTTGCAACTTTCTTAGAAGAAATTACAAAGTTAACATTTCTATTGCAGAGTGTTTGTCCCAAATGCACTCATTTTCAAACATTAAACATTAAAAAACAACCTCTCTCTCCACCCAWCCCCTCACTAGCTTCAGGGCCTTCTGTGTTAAGAATTAAAATACTTTTCCCCTCTGTTGTACACACTGATTTGAAGTGCTCAAAAAGAACATCTGGAAAGACTTTATTATCTCTGGATGTCTTGTAAACAAGTCAAAGGTTAAGGACTTAATGAGGCTTTTTGTTTTTTATATACTGAATATTATGAGATGTTTAATTCTTTGCTTTGAGGGGTAAAAACTGGGAGATCGAATAAATATATTAAATTGTGCATTTCTTAGGAGGCAGTAACTGCAGACTRGTAAAATTCAGACAATGTTAAGGCACCTGGAACAGATAATGYTCATAATTACATTGAGAGTTTCTCAAGCAAGAATAAAGAGCCATGTGTGACCACAAAGAGGTGAGCATAACTTGAACTGAGCCAGATGGACCCAAATTAAATGCACATTTTTACACCACTTGCCTTTGGCCTCTTCCAGTCCACACGTGGGTGCTCTCTGGCGTCGTTATTCCTCCACTGTTGCATGATCCTGGCGGGAACAGTGTCCGTGTAATTCACCAGCTGGAAGCCGGTGACATTGGCTCCACTCTCCCTGAATTTGGTCAGGTCAATGTCCATGAATCCCTGGCACAGGACAGAAACAGGACAAGCTCAGCAGAGGAAGACATCTCTGGGTGGTTAGGAGGAATCCTGTGCATGTATGAATATGGCAAACAGCTCAGGAAAAATATCTTCCCTCTGGGAGGTGATGTCCAGCTCARGAGAGGCCCCAGTTCCCTGACCAYGCTGTGAACTTGCATTTCTCACAGGCTCTGAGCTGGCCATTTCCTGCAGTTACCACCCAGGGAGACAAATAATCCTTTTAACAGCAGCTCATTTGCAAGAAAGCCAGCAGAGTAATGGAAAAATGTATTCTGAATAATGCTTGGATGAAATTAATYAAGTTTGTAAAATATGTTAGAACGTATTTTTCACCCAGCTCAAGGTTTTATACAGAATTGTTCACCCAGCCCTAATTTGATGGACTCAGTCATTCCTGGACAGGCTATTTATTTTCAAAACACAGCTCATAGGGAAAAACTAATCTTCAATGAACTTTTAGCAGATCAGGAAGGAACAGGTTGGTCTTAACAGCCTGTTAAAGGAGTTTTGCTATTAGAAAAGCCAGTTTGTAGAATTTGCTAATTTGGGAGAAAAAAARGKKSYTTTTTTAGACTTCAGATCACTAATKAAATRYRTTTCTTTGATTTCCTTATTGTTCTTGTCTACTTCTTGCTCTGCACGTGTGCAAATACACACAAGTGTATTGATCAGGGTGGCATTGCAGAATTAATCACCCCCTGGAGTCAGAGGTGAAAAACTAATTAGAGACACTGCAATATGGAGAAAAGGGTCATTTCTTGGTGTTCCAGCTTCGACCCTAGAGGTGCAGAGATGCTTGGGCTGCATGGGACACGATAAAGTCTGCTGCTTTTTGTTTTTTAGGAACACAAACCCCAGAGAYGGAGTCAATTATTTGCACTGGCACCATCAGCAGCCTTGATGTACAAGGGGAGAGAAATGTCACAACACAACCAACTGAGCAGCAGAAGGGCTCGTTTGAGCTCTGCCTTCCCCCTGCCCTGCTCTCTGCAGGCTGCTCCTCAACCTGCCCCATGATTCTCTCCCTTGTTCTCAGGCACACCGTGGGGGTGTGAGCTGAAAAAAAAAAACAAGTTACATCATTTCCAGGAAACACCAATCAGGATTCCGAAATGATGCTCTCTGTTCACAGGCTGAGGGAGCTAATTAGCTGATCAGCTTCCAAAGCCAGGATCAAGACTTTAGATGGGAACCTSTTTTGGGAACAGACCTTGCCAGGAAAAGACTAAATTGCCCTCTCACATCAGTGTCAGACGAGGGAGTCATAAGTGACTCAAAAATGACTTTAAAGACTTTCACACATTTTCTTCCAGCATTTTAGCATCGACTTACAAGGCTGAGGATTGGATACTGGTGTACAGATGCTCTAAACAGACAGCTTGTTTTGCTTCAAAGTACAATGATTTAGGTTAAAAGAAGAAAAGTGATATTTTGTGTGCACATATTCCTCACAATGCTGGTTAAACCCACATCAATCTTGTTTGTAATTGCTGGCGTRGGGGCTCCAGAAAGCCAGAGCTGTGATTAATGAATACGAAATGCAGCAGGATAATTGTCCCTGACATCTTAATGCATTTCAGGCCAAGTGGTTTTTGACACGTTGAGCTCCTAAGGTTCAGTAGGAGGGACCTCTCAGGTTGCCAAGTGGTTATTCATGGCTGGGACCAAATCACACTGACATTTCACTCCTGGGAGGTACTCAGGGGAAAAAGATCTGTCTAATGAAACTACCGAAGAGCAACTTGAAGTTTGTGCAACCAGCTCCTCTTTGGGAGACCTACAAAGGCATGGAGAAAAGTGCAAGTTCATTGCAGAGTATGAGTAAGATGTCTGGTGTGTTAGGACCCCTCAGAATGCAGACTTAAATAGGAAAAGTAAAAAAAAAAATATTGCAGCAGTGATGAGACAGCAGTGGTTGAACCACTGTATTTCACAGTTTCCCCCCAAAAAAACCATACTGAAACTGAAGCAAATATTCAATGATAGTCATTTGGAATAATCTTGCATAAAATTTTAAAATAATCTGAATAGATGAAAGGAATTATTTCTTTCTGAAGACTGTGGTAATTTTTYCTCACTGATTTTTGACATCATTGAGGTTCTTTAAAAAGTATGGAGACCTCTGAAGGTTTTCCAATCATTTGAGGCAGTTCGGACCATAGAGGACATCATTAACCTTGAAGACATCTTTGCATTTTGGCTGTTCTCAACAGCTGAAATAATTGTTCTCACCTGTTGTCCCTCCYCCACATGCCCCAGTACAAGGACATTATAGGAAAGTTCCTAGTTACAAAGGAATTTTAATCACCACACCTCTGAAATCTGCTCAAAGCAGGTCTGGAAACATGAGAGCCAATGAACAGGGAAATCCAGAGGTCAAATATTTTAGAAAATAATTCCCAGAGCAGGTGAATTCTTGCTAGCAAACAAACAAACACAAAACTATCAGATGTTATGCAAACTGTTTTTTGAAAATGCTTCTATTGACAAAGTGGCAGCAGGAATTCAATATGCTTATTGGTTCTGGAATATCAGTCAGTGCTAGTAGGAAACAGGAGAACAGGAGAATTACAATATTTGCAACTAAAGAAATAATGAATCATCTGTCACTTTGTACTAACTATAGACACATATTGCAAAGAAATAAAAAGAGGTCTTTAGTTTTCAATTGGCCATATTTGGGAAACAGAAAACAGATTCTTCAAGATTCTTGGCTAAGGAGAGGCTGTAACCCATGACTGAGGGGCAGCAGCTGTGCTTTTGCAYTGATATGTTTAATATCAACCAGTTTGGGAAAGGATCAGCCCAGAAATGCTTCCCTCTGTCATCCAACCAAGCCCAGCAAGGGGTGAACAGTGCTGGAAGGATGCATTCCATGAYGGAGTGATCAAATGGTTTTGAAACTGTTTCTAAAATTTTCCAGGGAATACTGGAAAAAGCTTGCTTTGCAGCCATATCTTGAGTT